GTGAATCGAATCGTGAAATCAAAATCGTGAATTGAATCGAATCGTGAGTTGAGTGAATCGTTACATCCCTATTCTTTAGTATTCTGACATTGGCAAATGATTTAAGTGCTTCGATCACTCGCTTTACTACAAATATGTAAATAAGCAAAATCAGTTTTTTTAACTTTAGCAATGAGGTTCAGAAAAGTGATCAAATGTGTTTTTAAACATTGCTCTTGTAATGCACATTAAGGTGATTTTGACCGATTGGTAGCTCTTGTTTTTTTCCAGTACTCCAGTACCAGAAAATCTCTCTTTTTAACATCTATATATCATTCTCTCCCTGATTTTATTATATGCCATGAAATGTTCAATAATCTGTGTTGATAGGACTTGTCTGTTTGATATTTATAAATATTTAGATATTTATAGATGATATAAGTGCATGTGTATCTGTATTAAATGAAGTGTGTGTGTGTGTGTGTGTGTGTATGTGTGTGTGTGTGTTCAGAGTAAGCTGGTGATGGAGGGCTTCAGGAGCTTACGGGAGGGCGAGCAGGTTGAATTCACCTTCAAGAGGTCGAGTAAAGGTCTGGAGTCGCTCAGGGTCACGGGGCCCGGCGGGGGTCCATGCTCGGGCAGTGACCGACGCCCCAAAGGGAAGGCCCCGCCCCTCAAACGCAAACCAAAGGGAGACCGGTGAGTGTGCTGAGCATTATGGGATATGTAGTTTAATATGTTTTGTTGCCATTTCTGTCATGAAACTAAGCTGGACTAAACTGGGTTATTTTCAGTTGTTTATTCTGCATACATGTAATATTAATAGTTCAATGGGCACTAAACTGTAGATTAACTATAAATGGTATCTTGCTGGACGAATATTTTTAGGTTTTATTCTTTATTATTCATAGCTTGTCTTTAGCAGCTGCTGCTGGTTTTTCTAAATCTTTAGTTGGTTGAAAATACTTTTCAGAAGTCAGAACAAAAGTCTGCTTTTATTATTTATAATAGCTTTATTGCTAATCTACTAGTGTTGTTTAGTAGCAGTGATTAATAATTCAAATAACTGGAACAATCGGAAGTTATTAATTAGTAAAAGCTGATTTAAAATCTTAATTAACATAATCAAAACCTAAACTTTTTCTTGTTTTCGATCTGTAAATTTAAAACATTTTAAGAGAAGAGATCTATAATCTAGAAAAGACTTAAACGAATTACTTTCTATTAAGTTTCATTTCTTAACATTAGTTAAGCACATTACTTTAACAATTAACAATACTTCTACAGCATTTATTAATCTTTAATAATGTTAACAGTTTTTATGATCAAACGTTTTGTCTTTAAAATTGCACTGTGAATTAACATGAACATTTTTATTAACTAAAATTACTTAAGGTTAATAAAAGCTGTAAAATATATTTCTAATTATTAATGGATGTCAGAGAATGCATTAACTAATAATGTTAACAAATGAGACCTTATTGTGAAGTGTTAACCAAATGCTTTATTTTATTTATTTTAAATTTTTTCTAATTCAAAATATACTCAAATTGCATAATAATAAATTGATATATGCAATAGAGCAAGGGAATTATATAATTACATGCTGCATTTAATTTAAAATATTCCTTTATATAAAATAATTGATTTATTTATGATTCATTTGATAGTGTACAATTTTTATGCAGACAGGATTATTTATCTAAAATCTTGTATTTCTGTCTTACACAAGCATTTTCTTCATACTAGCCGCTTTTGATTTGATGTGGACGTGTTTCAGGGTTAAAATTCTCAATGTTCACATATCAATTAAAAAGGCTCTCGTTTTAGGCTCTCTGTATAACAGAATCAATTCCAGTATTGATAACGGTCTGTGAAGCCACACATCTTGTACTTTTCAATGTAGACGGCTCATAGTTTGGTTTCGCCAAACGCTTTCTGTTCACGACTCGCATTGATTGTGAGTCTGTCTTCTACTTCCTGTTGCCATGGTGATCAGAGCAAAAAAGAAAAATCCAAACTGAATAAGTCTTTTCAGTCTGTTGTGTTATAGCTATTTATAAGTATGTATATGTGCATGGGTGAGCCGTTTATCATATAGTCCGTCACTATAGATGCGCTAACAAAAAACTAGACATTAGATGATGGACGTTTTATTGAAGACGACCTGAACAGTCAGACCTGAACTGATGAGTAAAAATGCATTTATGAAGAATTCTTTAAAGTAATTAATCTGGTTGAAACACAACAGGTGCATTAGGACACGGCTCATGAAATTGGCTCATAACGGGACCTTGCTAATTGCATTGCATCAATTTATTAATAATAATTGAATAAATTATTTAAACATGGTAACTAATCAATGACAGTGTTAATTTAACTGAAAAACAATTGATTTTACGTCAGTTTATCAGTTATTATTGCCTGTATTTTTACTGAATACTGACGATTTGTAGCTAATAGTTCAAGATCATGTAATAATCATCTTAAATACATGAGCTTAATTAATCTTTAGTTTATATTAATAGTTCATTATATCGAATAATTTAGTTTAACGGTTCTTTCTTTGTATCTAGAGTCTGGATGTCATAAGTTGAAGTACATCTTGCCTGTTTTTCAGTAAATACTGATTTGAAGATCATGTAATAATAATCTTAAATACAATCATTACTTTAATCTCTAGTTTAGATGAATAATACTTTATATCAACTAATTGTTTGGTTTAACGGTTCTTTCTTTGTATCTAGAGTCTGGGTGTCAGAAGGAAAATGATGCTGTCAAGCTTCATAGTGTAAATTTAACTAAAAAGTCTTTAGACAACTGATTTTATGTCAGTTTATCAATTGAAGTACAGAAATATTGACTGTATTTTCAGTGAATATTGAGATGATGTGCAGCTGAAAGTTCAAAATCATGCAATAATCATTTTATGAGGTTAATAGAAATCTTTAGTTTAAATTATTATTATTATTTATATTAACTGATTGTTTAGTTTAATGGTTCTTTCTTTGGATCTAGAGTCTGGATGTCAGAAGGAAAATGATGCTGTCGAGTTTCACAGATTTTTCTGTTGGTTTTTATGAAATTCAGTTTTTATGTTGTGATATTGAAGAGCAAAAATGCAAATGGTCTTTTATTTTTAAGATTGCATCATTACATTTTCCTTGAATATAGGCTATTTTTGTTTTAGATGTGAATGTGTGAGGAGATGAAATGGTGAAATCAAAATAATGATCAAATGTGTTTGTCAATCATAAATTTTCCGGCTTTATTTATTTATTTGTAGTTCAGCGCTGATGTCAGCTCAGTTTTGTGAAGTTTGTTAGTCTAATATCCAGCACATTCAGCTGTGATGCTGTAGTTGATCCACGCCGCCTCCTACAGGCTGAAAACAGTCTGTGCACATACAGACAAATAGAATGTCAAAAGTGCAGTTTAACCAAATACTTGTTTTTTTATTCAAGCAGTGGTTATTGTATGTTGGTTTCAAGCACCTGTTTGAAACCCTATTAAATTAGAAGGTAACACTTCATTTTAAAGGGGTCATATGACGTTGCTAAAAAGAGCATTATTTTGTGTATTTGGTGTAATGCAATGCGTTTATGCGGTTTAAGGTTAAAAAAACACATTATTTTCCATATAATGTACATTATTGTTTCTCCTCTATGCCCCGGCTTTCTGAAACGCGTCGATTTTTACAAAGCTCATCGGTCTGAAAAGCGAGGTGTGCTCTGATTGGCCAGCTATCCAGTGCGTTGTGATTGGCCGAATGCCTCAAGCGTGTGACGGAAATGTTACACCCCTTAACATACTGTGATGCCCTCCCCCAGCAGGACGAGACAAAACCAATAAAACCCATTATAAACAAAGCAGTTGTTGCATCCAGTGGGGACATAATTACTGATTATAAAGACTTATACTGTCTTTTTACGCGTTGCGTTGCGTATCGCGCTGCGTAAACATAAAACCATGTCTGCATTTGTGATCGGAGAAATGACAAACAACAAGTGCTACTCTACACTGCCCAAAACTCGCCGTTTGAATCAGCAGTGGCAAATTATTTAAATATAAAAAACGTACTTACAGGCTGTGAGTCAGAAGCGCCAGACTGTCCTTGCAAAGTTGGAACTGCCCCACTTTATAGAAACAGCCTTTGTGCCACAGACGCATTAGGCTACTGGTTCAGGAAACAGTCCTCATCCATCCTCCATAAAATGCGCAGCACACATCTGAATATTTGGGTTGAACTGTTCTGGAACAGTGTTGTAAATACAACTTGACCACTGATTTCTAGTTGTGTCCTCTTTTGGAAGACCAAACAAAGTAGTTTTGCTTTCACAACGAAACACAGCGACTCCACAACATGGCAGCGAATTAAAGTTACGCCGCCTTTTTTTGCGTGAACATTTTGGCGGCGTTATGCAAATCTTCCCACATCGTGACGTAGACATGTGGGGGCGTGTTAGAACGAGCCGTTTTAGGTAGGTGTCTACCTTACTAACTATAAATAAGCAACAAATTAGGAGTTTATTAGAGGAAAACTCTTATATGTGTTCCCTATTCTAAAGTGCTACCAATAAGAAAAAAATTAAATAAAAATCCTAAACAAAACAATTATTAAAAAGATTAATTAAAAAATTAATCCTTTAAAGAGCAGGTCATATGGGCTTTGCAGTTTATAATGTAGCTATCCTTAAATGAAAACAATCTGCAAAGTTGTTAATCAAAAAAGTGCATGATACATAAAGATATTGTCTCCTTGGTTTTTATCTTCCTTGGTTTCTAATCTTCTTAATTTGGACTAACAAGCTCTCCGAAGCACAACCTGTAAGCACGATTGATGCATTATGTGTAAAGTTTCAATTGAGTGCTCAAAATATCAGGTTTTTGTGCTAATATGTGATGTACACCTAGTGCAGCTTTAGGTTTCCAGGTAAAGCACGATATTACTGTCTTACTGAAATAGTTATGATAATGCGCTCTGAACCCACTATTTCCTAAGAATGTGTCAATTAATGTAGACTGATGTTGTTCTAATTACTTAGTTTAATAATAAAGAATGTAGTGTAGTGCCCGACTTTATAATCATTGTGAAATTGCTGTTTATTTTGCTGCACCGGCAGCTATAGGGTTAATGCGGGAGAGACGAGCGAGTTAGTTAGGCTGCTGCGATACAGCTGTTCTGTGTTCTGATTAAAAATAAAGACACAGAGCGTCTTTTGTCTGTCGTTCTTCAAACATTATAGTAGACATATTTTGGTTTACAAACTATTGTTTCATCAGTTAGTCACGTTAGCACTCGGCTAACATATCCACCATTATTGTTTTAAGTGTTCACAGTTTAGCAGCTAAACTTTAGCTGTGGGCACGATTCGTTTGCATAAGTGTTTTTGTATTTTATGACATTATTATAAGAACGGATTGGAGCACTATATTATTGTTTTATGTAAAGGTGCTTTGTCAATGGTAGCGATCGCTAACTTGCTCAAGGACTCCTCTCTGTGCCAATCACAACAGGCTTGGCCAGCTGACCAATCAGAACAGAGTAGGCTTATGGAAGGGAGGGGTTTGCTCCGAACTTGCTTGGAACGAATCGTTTCGAAATCATATTAGGACACTTTAAAATACCGTATGACCTGCTCTTTAAGATGACGTAGTTACACGTTACATGTAGGCCTACTTACTATGGTAATAACAGTGGAACCCTTGTAAATGCAGGTTTGGGCAAGTTTGTCCCATGTTTTTTATTTAAAAAAAATTATTTTGGTTTACAAAAATAAATTTGATTTAAATATGATTTATTTTGGCCAAAACATTCAGTGTCCATTTCCATTCAGTTTTATGATTTTTTTTCTTAAAATAATTGTTTAACCTGTAATAGATATTTACACACATATATTTTAATGCAGATATGCTGTGATGATTTACTTAAGATAATCCTTCAGTAACTATTTTTTTAAATCACAATATATCTGCATTAAAATACACTCATATGAGAGACATGTAACAGCTTTGTAAGAAATCATTTGCCTGTTGGCAGTCAGATGTAATTTGCTATTATTATACAAAAATACTGTATATGACTGCAGAATGCTGCAATCCACTATTCAGAATCAAGTATTCCAGAGAACAGTGTAATAATATATCCCTCCCTCTCTCTCTCTCTCTCACACACACACATTAGTGGCTCTGAGAGATCTGATTCTCTATATTTAGAGCTGTAATGTCATTTCCTACGTTTCCATGCACCGGAATTTCCTTGGCAACCGAAGGCTCCACGGTAACTTGATAACAACTAGACAATTCCTCATGATCACATTGACTTAGTTTCCTCATATCTAACAAAAGAGCTGGAAACCATATTCTTGCATCTCATTTGTTTTGGTTGTGGCTATGAATGTGTTTTTCGTTACATTTTAATGTAGGAATTACTGGGCTAGGGCTATTTATGACTCCCATATGATTAAAACAATGCTTATTAAATATTGTAGCATCTATTTTCTATTACAACAAATAAACTGGCAATTTTTGAATATTTCTATGAGGGATGTTTGCTATTGGAGTAAGTCTTGTCCTGTACTGCCCTCTAGTGACCGACACTGGGTTTGAGTCTCAGAGAAACACGTCCAGGTCACATTTCATCCAAAAATGAAAAGAGAGAGAAAAACAATAATAATAATAAAAAGAATTCCATTAAAAAGCTTGTTTTAGGAACAATATGTTTTTCTTTGCATATTATTTTCATAACAAACACATTTTCCTCCATAATTTTCATTAGCGTAATAACAAGCAATATTACAAGTACAAACATGATGCAAATATACTTTTAAATATACGTTTAAATACATATATTATTAATTTATTTGCATTCTGAATCTGGTAAATTGTCTTATATTTCTGATGTTACAAAAGATTTATATTTCAGATAAATGCTTTTATTTAAAATAAATGCTATTTGTCAAGAATACTAAAAAAAAAAAGTATCATGGTTTCCACAGAATTATCAAACAGCACAACTGTTTTCAGCGTTGATAATAATTAGAAATATTTCCTGAGCAGCAAATCAGCATATTAGAATGATTTCTGAAGGATCATGTGACACTGAAGACTGGCGTAATGATGCTGAAAATTCAGCTTTGATCACAGGAATAAATGACATTTTAAAATATATTCACATATAAATCAGCTATTTTAAATTGTAAAATATTTCACAATTTTTTTTCTGTTTTTACTGTATTTTTGAAGAAATAAATGCAGTCTTGTGAGCAGAAGAGACTTCTTTCAAAATATAAAAAAATTCTTAATTATTCCAAACTTTTGACTAGTAGTGTAAGTGCTAAAGGGCAACACCCTCTCTCTAACTCTTAGAATTATACAAACTGATCAGCTGCGCCTATAGACAAGCAAGATAAGTCCTGTTTTCCAATATATCTCCTATTTGATTTGTACAGTTTAGGAGTATCATTTCTATAATGCTTTAATATAACCAAGCATTTTTCATTCTTCTGTAGGTGTTATAACTGTGGAGGTCTGGACCACCACGCTAAAGAGTGTGGCCTTCCACCCCAGCCAAAGAAGTGTCACTACTGTCAGAGTGTCACACACATGGTGGCCCAGTGTCCCCACAAGAGAGTGCTGTCCCCCTCCACGTCTCAGGACCCCCAACGCCCCTCCACCTCTGCTCAGTCCCAGGAAGAGGGAAGCCAGTCAGGCTCGTCGTCTTCTCCGGAGGAAGCATCTCAACGGGGGAGTCACTCCCAGCGCTGGAGAAAAAGCCGGGACTGAAAGCGACCGAAAGATTCCTCAACCAGACGGCCCGGACACGAAATC